GGTCTCGCTCTAACTCCCCACACCCCATTCCCGCTGCGTGCTCATTCCTGCTCCTTGTTCACGACTTCCTCTCTGGGCCTGGCTCCCCCAAAGATGGCAGAGTTGGGGTTGGGTACTTGGTTGAGGGGTGTTGCCACTGTCCGAGGTTTGAGCTGGAGCCGTGGTCTCTGTGCTCTTTCTTCTTCCGTGGGTTCTCGGAAGTCCATGTTGGAGCCGCGCAGCGGGGGTCCATCTTGGAAGCAACTCCCCATGGGAGGGCCTGCTCATCGGTCCCCTGGGCGACTGCCTCCTCGGCCTCCTAGGAAGTCATCCCTGTAACCTCTGTCATCTGGTCCGCCTTTCCTGAATCCAAAGCCACCTTTATCTTGTTTTCTGCCTTCTGCAATGTCCACACGAAGTGACCGGTCACCCAATAGTGCACCATTGTAGGTCAGGGCTTCCTTCAGGGAGTCAACCTCATCGAATTCTACATAGCAGAATCCTTTAAACTTGTCTGTGTCTTTGTCTGTGACTAGCCGTACGCTCTTTATGCTGAGATCCTTAAAGATAGCGTCTATGTCACCCTGAACTGTGTTGAAAGGGAGGTTTCCTACATAGGCTGTGTAGGGGGGTTCTGTGGGCAGCTCCTTCTGGCTACGGGAACCATGGCCACCAGCACTGCCGCGGGACCCTCTGCCACCGCCGAAGCTGCTGTAGGCCCGATCGTCGTAGGTATCGAAGTCCGCCATTTGCTGTCTCCACTCCAAGAGGAACCAGCTAGTTTTTCCTTTTTAACTCTGAGCTTCTTGAAGAAAGAGTGCCTTCTTCAGCTTGTAGCCCTTTTAACCAACACTGCATGGCTCAGAGACTGGGCCTTGGAACAAGTTTTGGAAGCCAGACACAGCACAAGACTTCTGCCCTCCTCTATGCATGATGTCCCCCAAGTACACACTGGGCCAAGACTAGGGTTGGCTAGAAGCATATTTTGCACCTTAAATGTGAAATATATTTTTAAAAGGTATCCATCTCCAGCTTCATCCAGAAGGGCTATGAATAGAATCTGGCAGACTGCTAGATGGTTACTCAGCAGTGCCCTTTACATAGCTGTCCCTGACAAGCTGGGGTCCACTCAGGATTATTAAGAAATCAAGGGATAAACAACAGTGAGATTGGTCCTGGTCACCTAACCAAGTCACCTTTTTCTGAAGAGTAAAGAATTTGAGGAGCAGGTATAGATACTTCTTTTGAGTCCCACTGTAAATAACCTCGGGAGCATGTTTTGAAGAAGGAAGGAAATGACTGACTGCTGATCCTTGAGTCTTATCTCGAGTTACTCTTCTCTCCTTGCTGGGATAAAACCTGACACTCGAAGGAAGGAAAAGTTTATATAGCTCACAGTCACGGAGCTTTCAGCGCATACTCAGCTGGCTCCAAGGCAGCATGGCACATGGCGGAGAGCAACTTTTGTTGACAGTGGCAAAGAGCAGAGAGCAAAGGGGAGTGGCAGCAGCTCAGGCAGCTAGCCAGTGTCTCTGCCCTCCTTCCATTGTAATGCAGACTACCTGCACCAGGGCAGGTGCAGCAGCCACACCCCCGATAATCACAAACTCCAGAAGCCATTATCCCGTGACTGCATGAGGCTTTGGGGGTACCTATACACAAACCTTAACGAGTCTCTTCTGCATCAATTGTCTAGTAAGTTTCATAGAAGAGCTGGTTTTGTTGAAAATATAGTGCAGATTCCAGGAGAATCATCCTTTCCAGCTTAGTAATGCTCAGACATGAGACGTTTCTACTTGGACAGAAAGAGAGAAGCAGCCTTTTCTTGCTCCATCTGAGGGGCCTCACTGTCCACCTGCCGCCTGCATGGTGGGCCTCCCTCTTAATAGATCTGAACTCCGCCACTGCTCTGTGGCACTGCAGAGTGTCCCAGGGTCTTCACACTGAGCCATATATTTCCAGACCTTTTTATTTTATATTTTGAGGCAAGGTCTTGCTAAGTTGTAAGTTGGCAAGTTGACTATTACCGGCCTGAGCTTGGGATCCTCTTGTCTCAGCCTTCCAAAGTATATTGTATGGTTCTCTGGAACTTTTTTTCTTTTTTTTTAAATTTTTATTTATTTATTTATTTGTGTGTGTGTGTGTGTGTGTGTGTGTGTGTGTGTGGCCAGCTGGCTGGCATGTGGTGCTGGGGGATCGAACCGCGGTCCCTTGTGCTTTGCCAAGCTTGTTCCAAGTAGGTGCTTTAGACCACTGAGCCATCTCACCAGCCCATGGAACTTTTTTTCTTAATAAAATAAAGAAACTGCCACAGTTTGTGGATGGACAGGCAAGTGATGGGGTGTGTGTGTGTGTGTGTGTGTGTGTGTGTGTGTGAAGAAAATTGGTGATTAATTGAGACAGGATCTTGCTGTGTAGTTAGGCTGGACTTGAATTTACTTTGTAGCCTGGGCTGGCCTCATACTCACAGCAGTCCTCTTATCTCAGCCTCCCAATTCTGGGATTATGGGCATGTGCTGCCATATCTGGCAAAGTTGGTGTTTTAAAAGCTCTAGTGTAATATGTTAAAATGCTTTTTGATTTTTTTTTTTTTTTTTTTTTTTTTTTTTAGGATAAGGAAGCCTGTGTGGGTACCAACAATCAGAGCTACATCTGTGACACAGGACACTGCTGTGGACAGTCTCAGTGCTGCAACTACTACTATGAACTCTGGTGTAAGTGCTTGCCCAGAGGCTTTCGGGTCCTGCCTCTGCTGCTCAGGAACCAAAGCCAGTCTTTTCTGTTTCTCTTGGGGACAGTGTTGGAGAGCAGTTTCCAGGTACCCAAAGTGATTTCTTTGTGGAGGAGCAGGACTTTGTGCTCTAGAACACTGTGGGCTGAGACAAGGGAACAAGGCCTGAGCCTCTGTTGAGGCCATGTTGCTGCCCTGTGGCCAGTGCTCTGCCTAGGGTTCTTCTTTTTCTTATTTCTTCTCCCCATCGCCCTCCTTCTCTTCCCCCTCCTCTCCTCCCTCTTCCCTCTTCCCCCTTCTCTCCTCCCCCCTCCCTCCTCCTTCTCCTTTTCAGTACTACAGATCCAGCATAAGGCCGTGCACATGTGCACATGCTAGGCAGGCCCTTGGTCCTTGAGCTGCCTCCCTGCTCTGGGATTTTCAATGCCAACCCCAAACCCAGCTTCTTTCTCCTGTCCCACACTGTAGTGAGTGCTGGGCTTGGCATCGTCTGTCCACAGTGCCACTGTATTATAGAAACTAGCAAGGCTTCCAAGGTCCCTGCCAAGGCCTCCCAGAGCTGTCTCTTCCTGAGGGACCCTCTCAAAGCAGTAGCCTTTCCCAGGTCTCTCCTGTGGGTTTCTTCTGGAGAGTGGGTGTCTCAGTCCCTCTTTTTCCTTTCCTCAGCTCTTAGGCGGAGGCATCTGGAGCCGGTCTGTTAGCTAAGTGCTAAGAGTCTTCCATTTTCCCATGATTCACTGGGGCCTGGGCCTCCTGCATTTCTATAGCCTGACAACTGTGGTATTGTGGCCTTAGGGAATTACCCAGGGTGGGTTCAACTAATACGCTTTGTGCTCTGATTCTCTTAGAACTCACATGAGGCACTCTAGACTGCCGGGTAGAGAATGGAAGGCTGAGGGTCCTTTGGGCAAGCAGCCCCCATGAACTGCCACTAGTGGTCAGGGGTCTCTCAGAGGCTGTCTTTTGAGAGGGAGAACTGTAGACCGTGGTTCTAGATGACTCTGAGCCCCTTTCCTTAAATGGTTAAATGGTGCCCTTAACCCACCGTCCCTGTTCCCCTCTCCCCTAATTTCTATTCCCCACATCATGATGTGATAGGAAAGCAGACATGGCCACTCTTTGGTTCTGACAGGAAATGAGACTATTGGCAGGGAGGCCTTTCCCTGTGAGATATAGCTCTTTCTGACAGCCAGCAGGGTAGGTCCACCACAAAGAACCCCTCCTGCAGCCCTGCCTTTCCCAAGTCTCAGAGGGACTGAGAATCTGTGATTGCCAAGGCAGTCCAGTGCCAGGGGGACAGGGCTCTCCTCCCCCACTGGGCTTCTGTGTTCATGAGCTGAGCCAGAGGCGGCACAGAATTGTTGCTGATGCTTTAGAAAAGGCGGGCTGAGGACCCAGTGCCGCCCCAGTGGCTGCACCTAGCAGCCAAAAGTGCAGCTACCTGCAGGGTGCAACCCCCCCCCAACACACCCTTATGAAAACAGCAGTGGACGCCCACCTGCCCCATAGGCATGGAGCTGGTTGGATTTTCTGGGGTATGGGTCTTAGAAAGGAGTGGACTTGCCAGTGGCCCACTCTCAGCTTGACCGACCTTCTGGGCCAGTGGCAGAGCAGACTCAGTGTCATCAGAATTAGGTCCTCACATCCTATTCTGGGAGGCAGGGGAGGTGGTGGAACCAGAAGGCCCAGGTGGCAGAAGCTGGTCTAGGAGGCAGTTTTCACTCCAGGCACTGAGAAAGTTGGAGGAAGAGCTGGGTGGTCATCTGCAGTGTGGTTGGTGGGAGACAGGAGGTAGCTGGATGGAGACGAGCGTCTGCTTATCACCTTGTCATCACCAAGTCTCAGAGGGACAGAGAGTGTGATCACAATGCACCCCTCATCTGTGCCCAGCTGTGGCTTCTCGGCCAGGTGACGCCTGTGTCTTCACGGCTTCCCAGAAGCTCCTTTGGTTTTCTGCCTTACTGAGGACCTGGACTCTGCCAGAAACATATGAAAGCAAAGTTGTGTGTGAGAATGAGCCATGGTGTTCCCAGCAAAATCATACTGTGCTGTTTTAAACCATGTTCCCTTCATTGCCTTCAGCTTTGCCAGAGATGGGAAAGCAAAGAGGCTTTGGATTATTTAAGTAAAACCTTCTGCCAGGAAATCCTTAGCAGAGATTTCTCAGAAGAGGTGCCTCATTAGCTGTGGAGGCGAACCTACAACATGCCTGCCGCAGCAGGCTGTTTGTTCTCATGGAAAGCTCTGAAAGGTTCTCCATTGCTGTGCTCTAGCTGTAGTTTCCTATAGGAAAGGCGTTGAGAGGAAATGCCACTTCCATCAATCTGTTTATCTCTCCCGAGCTTTCCTTTGTCCTAAGGAGCGTCACAGACATGTACTTTATTCTCTCTCTCTCTCTCTCTCTCTCTCTCTCTCTCTCTCTCTCTCTCTCTCTCTCTGTCCTTGGCCTTGCACCCAAACTTTTTCTTAAACTAATTACTGGGCCTGCATGAGGCCAGAACTGAAAATCTTATTTTAACAGTGCAGTAGTTGAAGCTATAAAGACCTGGTCACCATTGTTATGTCCACGCATTTGTGTGGCATTTGTCCTTTACTTCATCATCCTTTCATTTAGTTGTTCAGCAAACCTTTGGGCTAATGGTGGTCATAAGAATCTGTGCATCAGAATTTCCAGCACAGATTTCTAGGCCCTACTGCTAGTGTGCTTGTTCTTTTTTTGTTTATTTGTTTGTTTCATAGTGCTGGGCATCAAACCCAGGGCCTTGACCATGCCAGGCAATTTCTGTACTACCAGGCTGTATGCCCCAGTTCAAAGGTTTTGATGCAGTAGGCCAGAGCCAAACCTGAGAATCTACAGTTTTTAGCAAGCCCTCGTGCATGCTGTAGCCTCCCGTGTGCCAGAGACTGCGGGGAGTTGGAAGTCTTGCCATCACAAAGGTGATCTAGCAGAGAGGCGATCCGACAAAGATGTCCTATCAGTCATGGAAGTCAGGGAGGAGTGTGTGCCAGTTGGTGTGTGAGTTCTGCTGTGACTGTTTAAAGGGAGTTTGCTTTGACCAGACTTCAGGCAGTCTGTGTGGGAGGTGGGCCTCAGAGAGTGAGTAGCCCTAAAGGGCTTCCCAGGCAGAAGCCATAAGCCAGACTAGGGAGATAGCTCGGTGGTCTAAGTGCCTGCCTGGCAAGCGCAAGCCCTGGGTTCGATTCCTAGTACTGCATACCATGCTGGCCCTGGAACCCTGGGCGTACCATGCCAGCTACTAAAACCAGATGTGGTGGCGCATGCCTGTAATCCCAGCACTGGGCAGGCTGAGACAGGAGGATCATTATGAGTCTGAATTATATATCGAGACTCTGTGTATCAAATAAATAAAAATATAGAAATTTTTAAGAAGCCATAAGCCAAAGCCTTACCAGAAAGAGCCTAATGCTAGGGCTGTGGGGCTTCTTGAGAAGAAATGGGAAGTGGAGAGCTTCGATGGCTAGAACTGTCCAAGCAATAAGTGGGGTCTTTTGGGCTAGGGAGATAGCTCAGGAGAATAAGCACCCGCCTGGTAAGCACAAAGTCCTGGGTTCAATCCCCAGTACTGCAAAAAAACAAAAAAGTGGGGTCTTCATCTCACTTGACCCCTGAGGAACTGCCCTGGGGGCCCCCTGGGCTGGGGGCACCAAGCACCACCTCTGGGCTACAGCTGAGAAGCCTGGGAGCCTCATCCACAGCCTGCGGAGACCTGCTGAGTACAGGAGTGTCCTCAGGTCTGGCCCTCCCAGTTCTCCTTGAAGCACTCTGGCCACGTGCTGAGCTACATTTTCCAGGAAGGAGTCCGTGTTGCCCCTGAGATAATTTGGGGAATTTCACTCAAGCTTCAGGTTTCCCTGACTTGGTTGGTCACAGCAGGGGAGCTGGCATCAGCTGACATGGCACCTTGTCCACAGCAGGAGCTTGGAAATAAGAGGTTGCCTGATTTTCCAGTGAATTTTGCCAAGAACAGAACCTAGAAGCAGATTTTAAACTTGTTCCTAGCCCATGTTTTCATGAAATATTTTGGAAGAGGTTAAAGGGAAATTTAAAGGAAATTCTTCCCATCTGTGGCTTTTCCTGTAATAATAGCAGTAGTCATAAGCTAGGGGCCGGGGAAATGGCTCAGAGGAATAAGTGCCTCCCTGGCAAGTCTCAAGCACTTGAGTTCAATCCCCAGTTCACCACAAAAAAAAAAAAAAAAAAAAAACCATAAGCTAGAGCACACACCTTATGTCATACACGGTTCTGAGGATACCACACACATTATTAATGCCTGTAGTCCGTATATTGCTTTTTTTCCCCATTGCACAGATGAAGGAAGAAGAAACAAAATGACTAGGGTCACAAATCTAAAGGAAGTGCTTAGTGTGAGCTGGAATTTGAACCTCGCTACCTGCTCCTAGCTCCAAATCTGCAGTCACCCTTGTTCATCAGTTCCTGTTTTTCAGAGGAAGGTGCAAGTCTCTGAAGTCTTCATCTTCTAAATTCAGGCCGCTTCCTGAGTTCCAGTGGCAGGAGCTGCTGCTGTGAGCTCTAAAGAGCAGGCAGCACCTGCATCCTGCAGAGGGAAGGAGGGAAGGAGGCGCCCTTGCCCTGAGCCCAGGTCCCGCTGAGCCTGGTGAAGGGTGGTATTGCTCCAAGTCTGTCGTGAGCTCAGAAACGCAGGGCTCAGCTCCTATACTGGCCTGTGATCGCTTTATTCTGTTTTTTTTATAGCAGGGATCGAACTCAGGAACCTCGTGCTTGCCAGGCAGGCACTTGTACCACTGAGCTATCTCCCCTGCACCTTGTTAAAAAACCTAAAAAACATGTTTTTTAAAACATGTTTCCGGGGCTGGTGAGATGGCTCAGTGGTCTAAAGCATCTACTTAGAACAAGCTAAGCTAAGCAAAGCACAGGGACCACGGTTCAATCCCCCAGCACCACATGCCAGCCAGCCCTGCCCCCTGGTGGGCTGAGCTGG